TATATATATATATATATATTCATGCTATATAATTAAATTACATTAAAATATAATATCTACAAACATATATATAAGCATCTGTATTTAAACAGAGGAAAAAAAGAAATCAATGTTCTTCGCGACGTAAAACTAGCATTTAGTCATTGAGGAGCATTGATAGAGAAATTGACACATTTTATCTTCACTTAGAAATAGTGACGTTCAAATAAACGCTGCTTTTCGCGGTAAAATGGAACTTGTTTGAATAGACTTAACATGGCTGCATCCATAGATGGTTACTAATCACGTGTTAGAGGTTATGTTCGACTTGTCAGACCCTGAATAAGACTTTCATATAAAAGATGGTATTAACGCTGTTTAGCAGTTTGGTGATTCCAAAACGATTTCTGTTTTCACTCCTACAATGTTCGCTATGTAAGTTATTTTTTTGATGTTATCGATTTTCGAGAGCAATGTTACGCAATTACCTTGTATGTATACGATTCTGTCACGATACAATATTTATCATTGCATAAAGTATTCACACATCATTGCGATTATCCTTTCTTTTTGCACAAGAAATTAATATTCGTATACGAGACAGTGTGAAATTTGTATATCAGCTGTCATCCGATGTTCGGTTTTGAATTGCTCAAAATTTTTAAGCGGGAAATTCACCGGAAATGAACGAACACGCATGTCTACTATAACAGGATAATCACTCGTAATTTTAAAATGAAATAACAGGGTTCTAATTACTGTAATATTCTCACTAACTACACACAAGTAATAGAGATTATATGACAGTAATCTATCGGTTTTAATGTTTCGTAATTTTAACATGCGCAACAGCATTTGTCTCAATAACGTTACACGGTGAACAGTATTTCTTCTACAATATTTGTTTCTCATTGTACGTAACAGTTTCTTTTATAAACGTTCTACGTCATTAGTGATAAATATTATTTATTTGCAGGTCGTCGAGCAATGGTAAATAAATTCTGGTGCCAGGAAGCAGCAAGGAAGTGGTTTTATAGAAAGGATCAACCACCTCACCCGCGAGTATTATCCGAGCCAAAATGTCAGAAACATGTAGCTACATGGTACCTACTCTATCGTTGGTTAATTTTTTTGGCCTGGGCTTGTATTTTAGTGTGTTCAATTTTCGAAATCGGTAGTGAAAAACCAATGTCAGTATATGGTACATGGCCAATTTATTTGACCAACTGGGATTTAGTATTAGGCGTTGGTCAAGCCTTGCTTGGCTGTTTTCTTGTATTGAGAAGATGGAAATTGCAAAAAATATCGGACTTCGATCCTTCTGCGTTAATGCTAGGATCAATAGACAAAATTTACTGGTATCTTTATGTTGTAACTACTAGTACTGCATTTGCTGTTACTATTACCTATTGGTGCAGCATATTCGATCCCAGGATCCACCATTTGGATCCTCTGAACATCATGTTACACATTTGTAACAGCATTTTGATGATAATAGATTTTTGTGTAACGAGCATTCCATTTCGACTAAGGAACATCTGGTGGTGTTTAATCATAGTGTTTGTATATACGGTGTTTTCACTAATATATTATTTAGTTGGAGGTTTGGACAAGAATGGTTACCATTACATATATAAAGTTCTCGATTGGAAAAAGCCTGTTCATGCTTCGTTAGTGTGCCTAGGCGAAGCTATTTTGATGTCCATGTTACATTCCACGTTTTGTTTTCTAGAGAAAATAAAGAGTTGGTTGTATTTCAAGGTTGACAAGAAATTAGGAAAACCGTATGCGGAAACACAGACTTCTAATATGGAAAAACATGCCGATATTGTTTGAAAATTGACGATAATAGGCAATTTTTTACACAGTCCTAAAATGAAATATTACTCGCATTTTTCATTAATATTTGTACCGTTCAAAATAATTTGAAGTATAAATATATATTTATAATATTAATATATATATATGTATATGCATGTGTGTTTGTACACATATTCATATCTATATATTTTTAGGTAAATTAATTTTTTTATTGTTAATCGTTTATTGCAAATAGTGCCTAAATGAAGGAAGGGAAAGTTCCTTTTGTTTAGTAAAGTTTTCATTTAATGAAAATTATATCATATCAACGATAAATTACAGTATTTAAACGAAATTAAAGTATTCACGTAAAAATGTACATGTGTGTATATGCACGATTATTATATTCATAAAGTAGTATTTAAAAAATTTTTTTTAACAAATACATACGTTATAGAGATTAAATCGCTGTAAAAAGATTTGGAAATATAATATAAATTAAATTCAGGAAATATACTACGTCAAATAAACAAATGTACAGTTAATAAGTTTCTTAGTTAAAGCATTACATTTTAGCTAATTATGAAAATACGTTATGAATAAAAATTCATGCAAATACACGCATTTGTAGGTACGAGAGAGTATCTAATTCAATGTTGTTTGTATTGTCCAATTATCTTTTAATTATTGTATTATATACCAATTTTATAAAAACATTCCAGATTTTTTTTGTTTTCATTGATATTTTGGCATATCTTGTTTTATTAAATGTTCAACTATAGAATTATTATACAATTAGTAAAAATCCTCAATGTATGAAGTTTACAACGTGTAAATTACTTATACCTTACAAAATGTGTATTCAATTTCTTAATTCTAGCAAACAAATTTTATTATACATTGGCTATTATATACACAAGGTTCTAGGAATTTTATATACAATAGAAGAACAGTGAATAAACTTTTTGGAAAAATAGCAATAATTTATTAATAAAATAACGATTTGAAGCAATTATGGACTGTAGTATAAATGAATGTAAGGCCAAAACAAGCCTTTTGATCACAGACCATATTAAAACTTAGCCTATATTAGAAAATAACAATGATCAGTTTTTTTTTACCCATTTCCAAAGCACAGTCACATATTATTACTCAAGTCCCCGTAGATTTATTGTGTTCTCTGATGATACTGAATCGAGTAACAGTACCTGATATTCTGTTCCCACTACATCGTCTTGATAATACATTGAAGGCAATTCCTCAGTGAGCAACAAACCCTCTTCTAATTCACTTGTACCTAATACAACATCGGATGCTCCGACGACCGAATCTAATACAGCACCATTCGCCTTTAATTTCCACACGTCGGAAAACGTCAAATCAGTTCGTGCGGAGCCCTGATCTTTTCTTACATGTTGATTGGATGATTGCTTGTGCGTAGCAGTGTTTGACGAAGATTCCGATGTTTTTATTAAATTGTTAAGAGGTGGCGGTTCCGGTTCAGGAAGAGAGCGATCTGTTTCCGAGGGTGTACTGACAATAACCGCATCGCACGGTGCTACCATTATCATTTGCTCTGAAGGCTCCGATACCGAGGGAGTAGTATACAAAATGTAATCCATGCTACAAACGGAATCTTCAGGCATTTTATTAGCTGCTTTGTTACACTCTTCAACAGGAGTGCCATGTACTTTTAACATGTGTGCTCTTAGCGTGGCCTTTGTGGTATATGAACGCGTACAGGTTTCAACTGGACAATGATACAAGGTCTTCGATGGATCTCGTAGAGGCACTATATCGTTTTTAGTTTGATTTTCATCGTTATTTTCAATTATCGTATCATCGCGATCAGATTTTTTCGTTACCGTAGGCGCATTTAGACAAGATACGTTTACATTCAGATTTATTGACTTTCTTTTTGATTTTATTATCGATGGTATCTTTTTGGATCGAGTATTGATGTTGTCGTGCGAATTTATCTCTACCTCTTCCTTAACTTGATGCTTCTTTATATGAACGTACAAACTACTTTTTGCAGAAAATTTTGCATTACATATAAAACATTGAAAGTACCTCCCCTCTTTGTGAGTCAATCTATGTTCCTTGAGATGTTCTGACCTCATAAATGCTTTTCCACAGGATGGAATATCGCACACAAATTTTCGTTCATTGGTGTGTTTCTTTTGGTGTCTCTTTAATTTGCTAGAGGAAGAGAAAGCCCACTGGCAACCTTGAAAAGTACAAGGATAGGGCTTACAGCCTGTATGCGAACGTATATGCGCTTTCAACCTACAAGGCTTATCAAATACTTTACCACAACCTGGCCATGAACATTTTACATCTATTTCCTTATAGCTATGGCATCTTTGATGCGACGTTAAAGCGTTACTACTGTAGTACCTTTTGCCACATCCCTCGTGTTTGCAAACGTACGGAGCATGGCTTTGATCATGAGTCTTCATATGCAGTTCCAGTGCTCTCTTCGTCTGGAACTTTTCTTGACAGTCTGGCACTTGGCATACTATTCTATTTGGGCGGGTATGCAATTTCGCGTGACTCCACAAATTATAAATCGTAGTGAATCGGCGATTACAACCTTCTACCTCGCAAACATAGTCTTTGCGTTTTAAATGTGTTTCTTTGTGTCTTTTAAGTTTGAATTCTGAATAAAATGCCCAGGCACATCCTTCAAAGTCGCACTAAAAATAGAAATACCAATCAAGCAAAGGTCAAAGAAAGAAAAAAAACACAAAAAAGATTACCTTGAAGGGTCTCACACCATAGTGTGCTAGTAAATGGCCTTTCAGAGCATAAAGTTTGCTAAATTGTCTATTGCAATCGTCGCGGGGGCAAAGCCATATTTTCCCATGCTCATTAACAGATATTGGTTGCAAGTTATCATCTGTGATACCTAATTCTTCCAAGGCATTGGATATTATCATCTCGTGTTGATTACTGGGATTTTCTGCACTATGTTCCACCGTTCCATTCCACACAGTCGAAGTTTCAATTTTTGGTAATTTTGGAAAATTTCCTGTAGCTTCTATAAGCTCGGAAGTTTTCCCTTGATAGATCTGTTCCTCTGTGCCGGTATTTATAACAATTTGTGTCATATTTGAAATTTTATCCGTCGATATGGCTACCACAGCCATTACACCGTCCTCAGTATCTACAATATCGTCCCCAGATATCCTAATCTCATTGTTGAATTTCTTTTCCATTGTTTCCGGCATTTTCTTACGTTTCTTAATAATACGTGGTTCTAGCTTTACCTTAGCCTTTGTTTTCAATTGTTCAACTACTGTACTATCAGAATCATCTTCATCCAACTTTGTATCTTGCAGCTCATCCACTGTGTTCTCAGAATTAAGATCTTGCGCATAGAGATTCGTAGCATTAGCACACAAGCCACTGTCCTTCTGCAGATCAATTTCTTTAATCGTGTTGTCCACACAACGTAAATCATCCACCACAACTTGGGTAGACTTGTTTTGCAATTCCTGGTTATCTGGTGTTATGGCTTTCTTCATCAGGGAGGTTTGCACAATCTCTGTACACATCTCTTCGACATCCCTGTTAGGAACGCTCAAAGCAGGTTGAGCACTGGTCGAGGGTAAAATCTCACCAGCGACCATCATGTCATCCGGGGACAACGCCAGCGGATCCAAATGATCCAGCTGAAATTCTGGCAATATAAAGCTATCCTTCTCGTCGAGCAGCTTCTCACTCTGAAGTTCTTGCAGCAAAGGATCATAACCTAAATTGAGCTTCTTGTCAGACAGGTCAATGTCGATCGACAAGCCGTCAGGGTCCTTTTCCAGAAAAGCGTGCTGGAGCTCCTCGCCCAGGTACCGGTCGACGCCCTCCTCGACCCCGGACTTGATCGCGTCGAGATCCATGCTCGACACCGATTCCGACCGTGTTTTCAACCATTTCTCGATGTCGGCTACTGTCTCGACATCGGCGGCTTTACCGATCTCAACGTCGACGTTCGACTCGCTTGCGAGACCACCGTTCGTCGCTTGGTTATCCTCGATCCACACCTTGTCCCGATACCGTACAGCCTCGTCGTCCCTAGCCTCTTCCTCCTGTTTTTCTTTTTTATTCGTTTCCTCTCTTTTGTCCTCATCCGGCGAACCAGGCAGCAAACTCAATTGATTGTAACCTATCGGACTGCTCGCGATCCCGGCCTCTCCCTGCGGCCAACTACGGACCGAGCACAAACCTCGCCGATTACGAAAGATTCGCGGGATTTGTTTTGACTTGCAAGCGGAGGGAATTCCTTTACGAGACATTTGACTGCCCCGTAGCCAGCTGTATAGGGGTCCACATACAGCAACAACGCCGCCATCGAAAGGAATCACACGAAGGGAATCACATCGGGCTAGATGGCGTCTCGCCGCTCTTCACTTTGGCGCAATATTTCAAACACAGCTTTCAAATACCCGCTTTTCACTTTGGAATAGCTATCTATTTAAAACAGTTATTCCATACATCTTGCACGCGTCTTATCTTTGAGATTGAATTTATCATCAACAAAATGATAAATATGCTAATGTCAATTTTTATTTGAAGATAAATACAGATTAGTTCTTCGTTCTTGACATTGAACGACGTCTGCTCTTCTTTTCAGTTGACATTTTGAATTCGTACGGCTGTTTCGTCGTGGTGAATCAATCGGTATTGAAGGGACCGGAGACAACGGCAGATACGTCTTTCTGTCTAACGAGGATTTTCAACTGCTCTATTCTAGATCGCTTTCTAATCGGTTGATCCGGACTGCTTCTAGTATCGGGTAATTCTTTCTGATTTGTTTGCGAAGGTTCGAACTTGTTTGGCAGGTTAGGTTCCTGGACCGACTGTCGTCGAAGACCTCCGTAATAATGCAGGTCTCTGTTTATCGGCGGAGGAACGTTTTCCGATTGAATTCCAAATTGACAACTGAATGGTTTTCTCTGTCTTTCTGGCGGTCTTAATTCTTCGTATGGTAAGCTACGCGGTTCTAATCGCATACCTTTCTCAATGTCACACAATGTTTGCGCAAGAGCCGGGCGATTAAGCAGCGTCTAGAAATCAACAAACATTTCACTTTTTTCCTTTACACAATCGTTATCATATCAGTATATTTTTTAAAACTTCCCGACATTTTCAAATCAACTTAACCTCTTAGTCGTGGTGTCGCTTTTAAAAGTGGTAAATATATATATGTGACGATTATACTGGACAAACACAGAGTGTATGCAGCTACTGTAAAATTGAATTAAATTATAAGGAAATAACACTAGTATTTTTTAACTAGTTTAACTTAATCAATATTAATTAATTAATAATAATTAATATTAATAGCAAGAAAATATTTAGAAATGATGTGAAAAAGAATTAGTCAAGTCTAGTTTCAAAGTGTCTAAAATTTACAAATATGTTTGATTTTCCGTAAAAAATTGTAATTACTCTTCTCGTCATGAAGAAATGACAATTTTTTCTGCAACGACGAATTTTTTGTGCTTTGATATTTTTATATTCTAAATTATTGTTTCTTTTACTCTAAAAAGAAAAGATAAATTTTTTGTACGATTTCCGGAATTTCATCAAATTTCAATTGATTGACTACCTCGACAAAAGTATCGCTCACCACGTGAGAAGTATCGGCCATCAGTTTGAAAAACGCTGCTTTCGGCATCTTGTAAGCTGGCGGAGGTTTCGGTTGTGGCTCCAAACAGGAAGACATCGAGCGTCGTCTCGTTAATTCCGTATACAGAAGAACGTCCCCTTCGGTTTGTTGATATCGCGGATCGCGCAATCTTGGATCACGCGTTCTCATCTTTTTTCTCTCTCTGTGAGCCAAGCTGCAGGTGCATGGATCAGGCCCAGATTTCTTGGATCTCGAAAACATCGTCTGTTCCTCAGAAGGTTTCTCCTCTTTCTTGCAATCGTTTGGCTTCTCCCCTGGTGTCTCTGCTTGTTTTTTAAAACGAAACAATCCTCCCTTTGGTTTCCTTTCAGCTTTCTCAAGTTCGAGACACTTGGAGGGACTGCCCTTGCAAATGAGATCCACATGGCTGCTTGCGCCATGTTCGATCGGCCGATCCTTCGACTTCCGGAACCAAAACGATCTGACGGATTGCATTAACGAACAACCGTTGAACAACGATCTCTGATGCCTGTTTTCCTGGAGATTAATGGTAATTCGTTTATGCATCCTGTCGATTCGACAACACTTGAAAAGTGAACTTTCGAAAAAGCTCTGTCAGGTTGTAGCATAACCTACGAGAGTTCTCTCCTCTTTCTCGGGATTTCTCTGATTAATTAAATACGATACCTTTAGCGATATTGCACCGGAAATTTGTAGCCTGGGTCGAATGGATGCCATCGGGAAAATGAGATTTTTTTTTTTTTTTTTTTTACGGACGAAAATCGTCCTTCTGCCCATGTGTGTGCGTCACATTGGAAATTTAAGTCCACTTCAAAATGTGCGAAAGAAAGAAACAAAGAAACATCGAGATTCGGCACACCAAAGTATCGATAAAAATTTCTTCAAGGAAAGTGTAAAATCTATCGATCGATCCCGAGAATGTCGAACTTTCAGTCGAATCTTTTCACCGTTGACTTTGTTGTTATAAATATAAAAAGAGGACATCCGTGCTTCGTTAAAACTATTATTATTAACTCATTTTTTCCCTCGAAAGTGAGCTTGTACCATTTTCGAAAGAAGGAAGAAACGGCTCGAATGTGGATGATAATCACGCGGACGAGAACGACCGAGGGAACGTGCGATTTAGCTCGAGTTACGAGCTAATACCGATTCGATTTCCTTTGATCGCCTACCGTTTCTGGTCTCCTGTGCAAACCTGCGAATAACCCCGGCTCTGTTAATTCTGAGAGAACACCGGAATTGCTGATACCGAGTCTGCAAACGAGATGAAAGCAGCGCCAGGGGGGGACGTCGATATCGCGCGCATCCACGTGTGGATGCATCGCGACGGAAAACGACCGACGTGGATAGCGACTTGCTTAATATTTACCTGCGTACGTATCTAGAAACAAGTGAAACGGACGACGATGCCGGAAGCTTGCTCAATGTACGCGTCAAAGCGACCAGCTGATCGTCTTTATCATTTTTATCAAATTCAATTTAAATCAACAATCAAACCGCTCCGACGATGGGACGGAAAATTAAGTAACTTACGATAGGAAAGTTCAATAAAAAGACAACTATCTTCGCGTCTTGAATAATGAAATAAATTCTCGAACGATGGACTATCTGCCTATCGACGATAAATCAAGGAAAACAAGGATAAGGCAAGTTATCGTCCTAAAACTGTTCCACCAGCTTCTGCTAATTCATCGCCGTAACATCATCCTTACACCTGAACGATGCTGTACACGCAGCCACCACCACGACATCCCCTCCTCGCGCGAGGAGAAGATATCCTCAAGCGGCGCGGTGCGGTGCGGTGCGGCGATTTTCCGGCGGCGAGTCGCGGTGAGGAAGGGTGTTTACTCAAGACACGACAATTCATTACGTAATTGAATTGAATGAGGCCTCTCTCCTCCTAGCCTGTTTCCCCACTGCCTGTATCCCACCTCTCTCTCTCTCTCTCTCTCTGTCTCTCGTTTACCTTCTCGGTTAAGGGTAGCACAGCACGTGTATAGAAACGACGGTGGTGGTTGCGCGTGTGCGGCTCTATTTGGCCAGGCAGAGAAGGCTAGATGGGGAGATCCATCCATCCCCATGGCCACCACACCCAACCAACATCCACAGAGAGGAATGACAGAGAGAGAGAATTCGACC